GTTATTAATCTCTGTCTCTCTTCCACAGCATGTCTTTATCCTGTCTTCCTTCTCTCTCCCCAACCGGTCACAGCAGATGGCCCCGCCCCTCCCTGAGCCTGTAGTATGCTGGAGGTTTCTTCCTGTTAAAAGGGAGTTTTTCCTTCCCACTGTCACCAAAGTGCTTGCTCATAGGGGGTGACATGACTGTTGGGTTTTTCTCTGTATGTATTATTGTAGGGTCTACCTTACAATATAAAGCACCTTGAGGTGACTGTTGTTGTGATTTGACGCTGTATAAATAAAATTGAATTGAACTGAACTGAACTGAGTTAAACCCCATCCGGTCACAGCACTGCCACCACCAGCTCCTCTTTTTGTTTTCTCTTGCCTACCTTGACTTAGACATTATCATATTATACCACATATAATGTAATATCTGAAATAGCACAAAAAGAAATGAATAAATAAACAAATAAAAGATTCACATGAATAAGAGGAGCCTATAGAGATTCTATATAGCTGTTTGTGCAAAAGCAAAATGTCTTCAGCACCACCATGCATTCAGATCACAATTCTGATTGCAAAAGCTGCCAGAAAGGACCACATTTAAAAAAAAAGAAAGAAAAATAGATGTCTGGTTCTGCCCTCTGTCTATTATTGTAGAGTTTTTAAAGCATCTTGAGGCATCTGTTGCTATGTAAATAAAAATGGAATGAAATTAATGTGCAATCAATCAAAACTGGCATAAAACAGACACATGAGCAAAGATCCGCAGCTATTATTGCTAAGAATTTACAATCAAATATGAGTCATAGTTAAAATAAGGTTCCTGAAAAGTTCTGACTCATCAGTGTGGTCTCTGGGGATTTTAACTCAGCAGTGCCATCTGCTGACATTTCTTTGAATGCTTCAGTATACACAAAATTAGGGATAATTACTCAACATTAGAGCAACTGCAGCAATAAAAGTTTAAAGTATCAAGTATGAATAAATGTATCTTTTTCTAGACGGGCTTTTAGACAAATTTTTGGTCTTTGACATGAACGTCTCGTGGACTTAAAACTATAAAAATAAATAAATAAATAGTTGACGCATAAAAATGTTACTTCTATCACATTTTGACTCCACATGTACCTGCTTCTTATTGAGCTGTTAAATGTTGCTGACTTATATTTGGTGTTGCTGGCTGGAAAAATCCCTGCCAGATTATCATTAATAAAATGCTGATAATTGATGTCTAGTGAGTATAAAATGTTTGTTTTTTGGCAAAGGTAAATAAAATGCAGCCCCGGTGCAGCTGAAAATTGCTTTATTTTTACAATCATGACATAAATATGGCAAACATAATTCCACATTGTTGTTGCTGTTTCCTCAAATGTGCATGTGTCTGATAATCAGTATATCCCATAGGCGTGCTCTTTCCCGTCTCTGTATCTGTCCAGGTAGCGTAGGGGCTGCCGGTGAGGGTATTTGACCTGTGGGGGGTGGTACACTGGAGGCCTGATGAACTCAAACACGGGCTCCCTCATGTCTGCAGGAGAAGATGCAGGAAAGCAGACCGTTAAACTCACATTACCAGCTGCCACACAAATCCTGGCCCAATTTAGATGAACACGTTAGAGGTGGGAAACAAGTTCCAGCATGTATGCATGTATTGTGTTGTCTTTTTCCCACACCGTGACTCACTTAGGGTGTTGTGAAAGGTATCTGTCACAGATTGATCCCACTGGCATTGGAAGAAGGCCAGACCCACAGGAGTCATGTTGTCCTGGTACTTTCTGTAGAAATCCACCGTCTTAAACGTGCGCTGCACCAGTGATTGGCTGTGTGGAGAGACGATACATGCTCAGTGCGTTTTTAGGTATCACACAGATTAACAGTTATGTCCCCACTCAATACATTTTTTTAATCCAGGAGGTGTTTAGAGTATTTGTGCTAAATCGAGCTAAAGTCAACATGTCAAGACAATTGATTTTATTTATTAAGGTTTGTGGTATACTAGGAGCATCAGCCACTTGTCTGAAGCATATTTAATATGGCAGAGTTTTTTTTCCCAGCATTTGTGGTCTGCAATAACACGTCATAATTCAGGTCCTATATAGTGATTGTGCGATGCTAGTATTTTACAGAGAGATCTGTATCTCTATCTATCCATTCATCCACATGGTGGTTGCCCCACAGAAACACAAGTTTTGCTTTTAAATTTCCGTCCTCTGCTATATGTCTGAGATCACCATGTTATCTATATGGTATCTCAACACTTAATGACATTTTAGAATCAAGAGTAGAAAAACTCAATATAGCAGAGTGTTTATAGCAACCAGCCTGAGAGTTTGGCTCACATGGGTTACTCGCGCATAAAATGACCTCTAAATTTGAATAGTGTTTAGTATATGTTGTAGTATATCCATCACTACAACCGCACATATATGCCAGGTTTGGGTGGTTCGGGAGGCAGTTGCTAATGCTACACTGAGATTAGTGTTATTCCTACCTACTGAGCACAACACATTTCCTAGTCACAGGCATCTTGCTGTAACTTGCTGTTGGGATGGACTTTGTTATTGTTGTAACTCCATCCAAAAAGAATACATCATCCACCACTCTGATTAGTGTACTACTCACCATGGCGAGGGCCTGATGTTTTCCTGGAAGTTGATGGGCCCATCCTGCTTGAAGAGCACGTAAATATAGCGATGGAAGCCTGTTCCTCTGGCAGGGAAGGGTGGCAGGTAGTGACACAGCTCCTCACCAGCCTGGACTGCTGCGCCCGGTATGTTCCCCCTGCAGAGACATGGGTCATTCGAGGAATCCATGAATAACTCGAAACGAGGTTTATTTAGCTTAGATTTAAACTTGAAGTGAGAAATCAATGACAGTAAGCCAACCAGCATAAAGTGAATGGACTGTAACTTTTTTAGTGCTCATCCAGATGATCTGACCAATCAAAACATCTTACACTTCAAGTTAAGAGCAGACAACAAAGCTCTGTTTTATTCCATTTCCTTTTTAGGGTTGGCCTTGCTGGGGAGCAAACAAATGCCCTATTTATTAGTTTGTCACCAGCTCCACCTTATGAGCCTCAGTCTGAGCACCACCTGTGTGTGACCTTTGGCACATATTTTTATTTTTTATTTTTTTAAATCTCTGAAAGTCTACCGCAGCGATGGAACACAATTCTTTCAAAAGTCACTCCATCATTTGGTGTTTGGTTTCTGTTGGTAGAAAGCCGTTTCAAAATCTCTCACAGGTGTCACACCTTATTATTGAGTGTTCCTCAGTCCTGACAGAGACCACTCAAGTAAACACAGAAAGGTTTATTTGCAGGATAAAACTGATTACGCAGAACAAACACGTACCAATTTGACTGTGTCCTCAAGCAGACCAATACATGTGGAAAATACTAGTGTAAGAGGATGAAAACCCTGCTCCCACAGCAGAACACAGCCACCAGATTCTCTTGCTGAAGGGGTTGTGCAGCAGTTGTATCCTCAGTTGGCCACAAGATGTCTCTTTTTACACAGAAACTGTACTTACTACACTGATCAGAATCAGAATCATTTAATAATCAATAAGGAAATTATGTACTTGGATTATAAACTAGTTTTGACATCTAAATCTTACTCCTGTGAGACAAAGCTCTGTAAATGCAGCACTCTGCACCATGAAGCTCACACAGTTAAACAGTCCGCCCCAGGGTAGCTGTGGCTACAATGTAGCTGCCATCACCAGTGTGTGAATGTGTGTGTGAATGTGTGTGTGAATGGGTGGATGACTGGATATGTAAAGCTCTTTGGGGTACATGGGGACTAGTAAAGCGTTATATAAACACAGGCCATTTACCATTTACCATATGTTTTGTGAAACTGGATGCTCAGATTTAGTGGGAAACCTTATACTTTGGAAAATTAGATCAGTAAATTGATCTTGTTGACTTAGGAATTATCTGATTGCACTTTTGAACCTCAGCATAAACACAACATGGTCAGCATATAGTTTTAAAGCTTATTTGACTGGTATGAGACTACTCACACAAGCCAGTGGATGTATTCTGCCTCGTTATCTTGAAGATGCTCATCTGAGGGGGGAAAAAAATTGTACTTAATTTGGACAGTCTACAAAAGTAAAGAATCCTTCAGTTACTTGTGTGGATTCACTTTTAAACGTATTAAAAGACAGCCAGTCATTCTTAGGACTGTCCACTGATCATTTTGTGTGTACCTGGACAGCTAAGCAGGAGGGTCCACAGGGAGCCCTCCTCTGCATTGAAGCTGATCTGTGGTGCCGTCGCTGCCTGGAGGACCACAAAGAACAGAAAGAACATGATGCAAGAAGATTTATAAAAGGTGTGGGGGGACATAGAATCAAAATCTCTTAACGTACCTCAGTGGGTGTCAGTTGATTCCCATAGTGCACATGAGTGCCGTTATCCTGGCTGTAGCAGACCTTGAGTGTAACCTGAGGTAGAAAATAAGCCATGGGGAAGAGATCTCTGAAGACCCCATAGTGGTCCGCAAGTCTTTTAACATGAAACGGCCCGGCTGTCTTCTCCCAAGTTTCCTGCACTTGATCCAGAGGGATCTTAACTGGTGGACAACAAGGAACCTGTTACCACAGGGTACCAAAACAGAGCGACAGGAGAATTCGTTAGAAACTGATGTAAGCTTACACGTGCGCAGACGAGACGCCCGCTCCAGCTCGACGTTCTTCTTGTTCTCCTTCATCACCTGCCTCCTCTTCCTTACTTCTTTGGTCCTGCAGGGTTGATAGTAGGGCAGTCCAATGTCCACTCGCTCTGCGCCTTCAAACACAACAGAATTCTTTCGTGCTATCTGGAGTTTTTACCATTAAAAAATTACATTTACAAGACATCACGTTGCCCCAATGTTCACTCCATCATCTCACCGTGCTCAGGGTCAGCGTTTTCCACGTAGCTCCTGTAAGTCTTCCACCATACGTCCTTGTTCCTCGCCTCCGCCGCTTGCCTGAAGTAACGATTGTAGCTGCGATACTTCTCTACCGACGCCAGGTTTTTAACATCAATCTCTTCATTTGGCATCGGGCCCAAAGGAGGAACCCGTTTGCAGAGGAATGCTGGAAACATCCCAAACAGTTAGACACATCGCTTTTGAAAATGCTACATCTTTAAATGGTAATGTGATAGTGTACAATAGTGATCGTAGATGGTGATTCACATTTACTTTTCCAGCTGCTGCGCTGTTCTATTTCACCTAATTTGTATTCATTCTGCACCAAAGTATGTTTCTGTGCTTTTTGATTGTCAAAGCTACTGATTTCCCAAATCTGAGTGGGGAGGTGGAAGAATCCATTACATTTTGATACCACGCGGATGACTTTGCCTACATCTGTGAAGTACACAGATGTAGGCATTGCATCCTCAGCGCCTTTCTACTTTGTAAGCAAGGCTACGTAAAAATTATGGGCCAAATGTGAGGAAATGTGGTGGAGAGAAAGAACAAGAGCATGCATTCAAATCCCCTTCTTTAAAATTGAAAACAATGCCTTTAGGGTCTTGGCAGAGGGTCAGACAAATGTCATGAAAAGTGAAGATCAAGTTAATTAACTGAGCAGTGTAGTGCCTGTGGGCGAGTCAGACTTTGGAGCAAGATCACCCCTCATTTCTCTTTGTGTTATTTATCAGCTTGTGGCTGGTTTTAAAGCATGACTGAAAACTGCAAAACAAATGGAAATGTGCAGAGGACATTTTGCACTCCGAGTCAACTGTCAGCGAGTGATGAGTTCACTGTCTCGTACTTTACCTGTTTATTCTAAGGCAGATATCTTTGCACCTTTATAACTATGGCTGTGAGTATTTACTGATAACTATATTAGTCACTGGATAATGACACAGCATACACTTTGCAGTTCAAAATTAAGAAGAAAAAAAAAACAGTAGCAGCTAATTTCCAGAAAATAATGTAACTGATGTATGAGCCGTTTAGCATTAAATGTGTTGACACTCTTACAACACCTCAGTCGTTTTCCTGATCAATGTTTAGCTTGACCAAATTTATTCGTCACATTTGTTTATGAGATTTCTACCATGTCTGTAAGGGGACAGCGTGCATCAGGGCTCTGCTGCAACTAATATAACCTACCGAAATATTTTCTATATTCAAGACGTTCAGGAAGTATTTTAAAAATTGCCAAATACAGATGGACTCCATACCTGTCGTGACAAATGTCCTCGCATTATTGACCCCTAAATCTGTCCCGGTCCGTAAAGCAGCAGCACATACTGTGCGCAGCGCCATCTTGGAATGACTTTCCCCGCCCCTACTTTTTTCTTTTTTTTTTAAACAGAATACGGTGGCCGGGAGGGAAAAAAGAAAAGAAGACACTTAAAACTGAATTATGCAGTCATATACATTATAACATTAAAATTTAATACATAAAAAAATTATGTATATTATGTAAAAATTTTTGAGGCGAATGTTTCAGTAAATATCTATTCTACATTAATTAAACCAAAATAAAGCAAACGATTGACATAAATTAAGTAGTATTGCCCTCGCAACTTCACAGCGGAACAGTGTTACAGTTTGTCTCATAGCATACAAAATACAAAATATATGGGTCTTTTTTTAATTTCATTGGTTTCTCGAAAGCACGTGAAGGCGTCCCTTTTTGCGTCATACGTCATCCGGAACGCTTCATCTAGCGATATTCATACAGTGTTCTGCATGAATCTATCTGTTTACGTGGTAAGAATTATTTTTTTTGGTACAGCATCTTGCTGGTGAGTGTGTAATGGTGCTCTGTTTTAAGATATCTTTTGACCATTTTAATATGTTGACGAGTATTTGTTTGTAACAGTCCGCGCTAACGTTGAATGACTTGAAAGCATGCTAACGCTGGCTAACATTAGCTTTTCCGTTCACTTGTGTGGTAGCTGACATTAGAATCTGGGACTGCTGCCTTCCTGCTCGCCTGTTATTTTTCCCTATAAATGTTAAGCCAGTTCATAAAGAATATTTTCCTGCCCAAAAATAAAATTGTTTTCTTTAAAAAAACGAAATGAAGTTGTTTGTCTCGAAAGGTGTCATATTGTGGTTAACCTCAGCCTTTTTTGTTTCCCTCTACAGAGATGTCTGCCATGTCTTCAGAGATGGAGTCTCAGAATGCAAACCTAAACTGTTCCATTTGCCTGGAGTTCTTCCGGTATCCTGTAACCATCCCCTGCGGTCACACCTTCTGTAAAAGCTGCATCAGCAAGCACTGGGACATTAAGAGCCAGTCTGACATTGGCCCTCAGTGCCCCATCTGCAATGAGGAGTTCAAAATTAGACCTGTCTTGAGGCGTAATGTGTCCTTGTCGGTCCTGGCAGAGACTGCAAACAGCGCTGGCCCCTCATGTAGGGATGCTCTGGTGAGAGGAGGTGAAGGGGCCAGAGCCATGCTGCTGTGCGAGCGCCATAAAAAGCCTTTGGTTTATTACTGCAGGCAGGACAAAAGGTCTGTGTGCAACGAATGTGAAAAGTCAGAGTGCATGAACCACGAAAGGGTCATATTGGAGGAAGAAAGGGAAACTCAAGAGGTATACAAACACAAAGCCTCTGCAGATTTAAAACTGGGAGTGGATTATAGATGATGATTATCACATATTTGTATGACTGTGAAAGAATAAATGATTTTTTTCTTGACTTGATATGTTTTCATTACAGCTGCTGCTGGAAAGGAAGAATACAGACGTGGGGAAACTGCTTGAAGAGACGCAGAAAAGTATAAATGACTTGACTGAGAATATCAATCAAGCTAAGGTAAACTCTCACTTTAAGCCTTTGTAAATGCTTCACAAAAGGAGGCTTTTAAGTATGAAAGAAATCGAAAGCGTGTGCCCAAATGAACCCAAGCAACTATTTTACAGAGCATATTTTAAATTCACAGGTAACTCTTGAGCAGACGTCAGCCTGGGTGAACGCCAAGTTTTCTAACCTGATGAAAATCCTGTCCGAGAAGCAGGAGGCAACAGCGCTTTTTATTGAGGTGGAAAAGCAGGCAGCCCTCGCGGAGGCAGAGGCGCGGCTAACCGAACTCAGCGAGCAATCCCGCCTGCTCACAGAGCGCCAAGACCAAATTGCGGCACTACATGACCTCCCTGATACTGACCTCATCAGGGTTTGTATCCCTTGCCTTTACACATTTGGGAAGGGGAGGATCTGGTTTTTTATTTTGGTTCATTTTATAGTCCCAGTAGTTTACAAAGGTAAGTATGTGCAGGTTGCTGTTTCATGTAACATGCACAAGTGGATGCGTAGAGCTTTCAGCAAGCTTCCTACTGCTGGATGGTTGCACAAGCATTTTTTTTTAAATAACGAAATGTGGGCTTAATTAAACAACACGAGGCTGGTATCTGCTCAATCACAGAAAACCTCAGTGTTTCGCTTCTTTCGACTACAAAGTTTATCAGAGTTGCGGCCCAGGCCTTGTCACGCCTTTCCTATGAGCCACGTAAAAAGAACATTGAGTGTCACAAGAGACATCTTGGAAAATTAATGTTTACTTTATTTGTTATCTCATTAAGAACTTTCCACATAAGTTTATTTTGTCAGATTTTAGTTCCAGGCCAGTGAATGCAGCATGATACTTATTTTGTAAGTTATAGTCTCCCCTTTGCGCTCGATCTGTCTGGTTTGAAAGGCACTGAGAAAATATTCCAACTCTCAGCTTCACAGCAATGCTTTCCTGACCAGTGGGAAACATCACAATGGCGTCTTTTACATATCGACAGTGTGTGGGCCAGACAAGTAGAGGCATTATTTGAGCCAGCTAGGGCAATAATTACACCGTTTAACAGAAACGATGCCTGAAACCTATTAATTACAAATTCTAGGAGCACACTGTAGAGGATCCAGACACATGTCATAATGTAATGAATGGCAGGTGATTTTGAATTGTCATTAGAATTGAGTTTTTATTTCATTTAACAATTGCAGACGCAGCTTAAACTCACTGTTTCAGCTGTAAGGTCAAACCAAAGTAATTAATCAGACATTGAAACTTTTGCCTATTCGTTAAAGCACTGCCTGAAACCCGCTTCTTCACAGGAATCATCGCACGTAGAAGTCCCGCGCTTCAAGGATATTTCCACAGATGTGACTTCGACCCTGCAGGATCGATTAAACGGCGTCACCGACATCCTCTCCCGAGTGTCTAAGCTGGTGTCTGAGGACCTGGAGAAAGCTGTGACCACCGCTGTGGGTCATGACAGAGAAGGTGACCTGTCACTAGGAAAGATGAAGCATGTTAGCTCGATCCGCCTTCAGACGGTCCTCATGTGTTCTCATGCATTGTCTTTGGTTTCCAGGTTCTCCTCAGGACAAGAGGCCAGTACTCGCTGTGGTTCCCAGCCCCGCTGCTCCGTGCCACCCTGTTGGGAAGGAGGGCCTCAGTGCTTGTGAGTTCTAAGAGACATTTTATAACTAAGGACCTCTAAGACTTTTCTAGATCACTGTTCCAGCTTTAATCTGCCTGATTCATTTTCTTCCTTCTTACAGACCGATGCTCTCTGACTTTTGACCCACGGACAGCCAATGGGCATCTAGTTCTTTCCCAGGAGAACCGCAGGGCTGAGCACTTGACATCAGGGCCACGCGCTGTCCCCGCTCATGAAGCCCGCTTTGATCACACCTGGCAGGTGCTGTGCTTTCAGGGATTCAAACACGGACAGCACTACTGGGAACTGGAGGTGTCCAAGCCTTGGGCCTACCTCGGGGTAAGGATATCATAATGCTGTGTAGGCTGTGGCTTTGTGACACATTGCTTTGTAGAGGGTCGCTAATGGGAACATTCTAGGTCCTGCCGAATAAATCGTTGATATGTATGTTGAGGTCATCAGAACTAATGATTCCATGCAGATTGTAGCTGCACATATTCAGTCCACAACAGGTGGAAATCGGCATGTAACAAGCTCAGGAACCTAACTTGTGACCCACACATGTTACATGAACCTGCTCAATAGTAGATCCACTCTGTCTGATCAGTCGAGAATGTTTTAACAGATTTTCCTTATGTGTTATACAGGGATTCATTGTTCCCAGAGAAATGACCACAGGATGCTAATGTTTCACTTGTTCTGTGCATCTTCCTCCCCAGGTAACCTACGAGAGCATCCCCAGGAAGGAAAAGGGAAAGAGATGCATGGTGGGAATGAATGAACTGTCCTGGAGCCTGCAACTGGACGAGCACCAGCTCAGCGCCTGGCACAACGGCCGGCGGGAGACCATCCCCGGCAACTCCCATCACAGCCGCATCGGCATGCTGCTGGACTACGAGGCGGGTACGCTTACCTACTACGGAGCCGGCCAGACAAGGCTGCACGCCTTCCACTGTGCCTTCACCCAGGAGCTGTTTCCCGCCTGCTGGATAGGAGAGGGGGTCAGCATCACCCTCTGCTCTTCATGAGCGGACTTGTAGAAGAGGGGAACAAGTGGAATTCTAGGAATACTATGAATCATGGCCACAATCTGACTTGACATAAAGAACCCCCTCCCCCCGCCTCCAAACAATCTAGGAGCTTCTTTTAAATTCACTTTTCTCTTCTGGGACGACTGCCTTCCTGCATTGTTTTTAGTAGAAGAACTGACTTACTGGGATTTTCTTTCCTCTAACATGTTTGCCATTTGGTTTTGCATTGTCACTTACCACAATGTTGCTAAGGAAACCGTTTATATGCATACGTAAGGGGCTTTTAAAACGATTTGCAGTTTTAGTTCACACTAATTCATTTTTTTTAACATGTGATAAATAATGTTCATGTGTCCTATTTCAGGTAGGAAAAAAACAGTTACATTTCAGTGGGTCACACTTTTGAACTTTCATTACCTAAAGCTTAGAAACAAGTGTCTCCTCATGAGACACTGAACTCTGCATACATGCTGGATTATGTCTTTAATTAGGGCACACACCCTTGTTGAAACAAATGTTCTTTTTTCCAAAATAGCATTACAATATATGCTGTGTGATTAGTGAAAAGATACCGACTGAGGTGCAGGTGAATGAATCAGTAATACTGTGTTGTTTCTGTGCCAGCACAGGAGGACAACTTGAACACACGGTCTTACACATGTCAGATTTGAGTATTCTTGATTCTGCCCTAAAGAAATGCACTTCAGGCTACATGAGAAGTTTCCTATAGGTTGGCGAGGACCTGTTACACTCATTCCATTTGAAAAACATGAATTGACTCTAAGGGAAATTTATGATTCTTTTTAGCAAAGGTGAAATTCGATATTGTCCTGACTTTATTTTTAAAGTTCAATTAAAGCATCATATTAGTAGATTCACCTATTGTATCAATTTGAATATCTTCAGTGACTTCACTCGGAAGTTATCTCATTCATATTTTCAGGAAACTTGAGGTCGGGGTTACCAAGACACAAACCGACAGAAAAGCATAATGGGCCCACTTTTGTAGCTTTATGTTCATCACACAGAGTGAATTGTATCAGATGGAAACTGATGAATATCCGCCTGTGCCAGAGCATATGTCCACATACAAATGAAAACAGCAAATGTAAAGGGATGCTTGGGAAAAAAATTTCAAGGCTCAGATGTTTAGGGTAAATATTGTACTCATACATGTCCAAACCTCATTGTGTTTTCTGATAATATTCACATGTATGCTGAGCTCATTCTACGGAAGTATGTGAGCTACTGTAGGTGAAAGAAAAATGTTGCAGGCTGTAGCGCTACTACTGAGAACACAACTGAAAATCGAAGGCTGCGTTATCACGTTGCGATCTGATCATGACTGCGCAAACAAATGGTGCCGACGGCTGAGCTGGAATCTGATGTATTGTGCTGGTATGTGCATATTTTGGGGCAGATGATTTTTAGATTATGAGGGTTTACAAATCTTAGCTTAGCTGAGAACTTTTAGCACATTTAAAGTGGGTTACTGCTGTGGATTTGCACAAGTTTCCTGAAGATAAGGAACAGCTGAGGAAAAGCACATTTGGCTGTTTTGGCCTAATGATTGGGGGAAAAACTTTGTCACTCTTCCTGCTGACTGTTGCATATGTTTGTCAGAACTGCTAATGCACTATACTGTGGACTATTAAAACTTATGATAGCAATACTCTGCTGAAATAAAGACAGACACTCTGAATTCTTTATTAAAATCCAGTCCAATGCATACATGCATCAGTTGAGCTCATGCCTTGTTTTCTTACTCGAGTTGTTAATTATTCAATAAATTAGTTTGAATTAAATACAGAGCTTTATTTGTATTTTCCACACAGCCATGACGGAGCATACAGGAACCCGATGCATAGCATTCTAAAAGTGCAAAGAATCAGCCGCAGATGTGCCACAGATACAGTATATAGATTGGAGACCGCAGAGGAAGGAAGAATAGAAGATGAGATACTCAGATTGGACCTCAAACTGAAGAGTAATAATCACGACCACAGAAACAGAAGAGTTCACTGATGGTTCTGTTTGTGTATACAATGTTAAAAATGCAGTGAAGATGAAAGCAGGCTGATGGTGAGTCTGACCGTGCGTCTTCTCTAACGTCTGGAAGCGTAATAAAATAGGGAGTGACATCATTGGGTGACTGCTTTGCTCTTGCAACATTATAAAGATAATCGCTCCTGGCAGTCGGTCCCTCCAAAAGCCCAGCCGTCCTCTCCCCTGCTCTAATCCAGGATCAGGGATTGGCTGCTGTGGCTCAACGCCGCTCTAATCTTTGTGGTCCGCTCGTCGGCCAAAACGCGTCAAAGCAGGTAGGGCCACCCTGCGACCCGCTCGTTAAAAAAGCTAGTTCTTCTTTAGGTTAGTGTTCTTGATAAAATAATGTTATTTTTAAGTCTACATATTAAAAGCCTGTACACACAAATAATAGAAAAATAAAATACTGCGTTCATTTCGCCTCTGGACAGGTTAGCAAAGTATTTACTATCATTTATCTGAGTCTAGTTTTATAGACAGTCACAGGACATCATGAGCACAGCTGAAGTTAAGGTTGCTGCACGATTCTGGGGAGGCTTCCAAGGCAAGAAATACTAAAATAGCTCATCAGGTTACAAGGTTTTAATCAAAAAGCCCTCAAAACCACTCCAAACACTTTGGCCTGAACAATCTGTTCTTCCTCAGAAATTGCTACCAACACTTCTTCTTTGCTACTTTACATCACGTAAAGGTGCATTTGAAGAGAATGAAGCTGATTACAATATATGAGTCGTTACAAGGAATGCAGGCTGAGGCGGGAAAGCAATTGGATGACTTTAAGGTTAGATCAAAATGGAGATGAGCTGGAAGGAGATTAGGATGAAAAAAATTGATTATCTTGGGGGGGGAAAAGAACATACTGGCCCTCCTACTGTCCGGTTAATGTAAGAGAAATAATGAGATCCAGCAGGATGGAAGATAGAGGACAAAGAGGAATGAGGGAGACATTAAGCAGGTCTATTGGTTCTTCTTGTCTTCTGGAGGAGAGTAGGGAGGAGGCTTGTCCTGGAAAGAGAGGAGAGTTTTGTTTTGAGCATGTGAAAGATGGTGCCATGTAAACAGAAGAGTAGGAACACACAGTGGTCTTGGATTACTGGCATTCACAGACTGAAGCTGTGGCAAACAACTGGCTTTTAACCCCATAAAACGTGGTTTTATCAGTGACTTCCACTTGCTGTAACACCTTAACCAGGTCATCCACTGATGTGGTTTCTGCATAGCTGCTAGCATCAGTGACTGTCTCACAGCAAAGTAGAGACAAAATAAATAAAGACTGGCTGACCTTCTGCAGAATGATGCAGGTAGGGATGTTTCTGATGTTAATGGCTGATGGCCAATGCCTGTGCTGATTATTTTGCTTTTATTATGGTTTTTGTGTCAGGGGATAACACAAAATGTTACCCATGGAAAATATCTGACCTGATTTCTTTCCCACTGAAAAAAAATTTGATGTGATAATATATTGGTTATTCATCGTTAAATGGCATTTTAAGGCTGATATCTGTCAACTACATTGCTACATTTCAGTGTTGTACATTAACCGTAGCGCTGAAACAAATTACACATTTCTCCAAAGTGGTGAAGACGGCTGCACGAAGGGCATCTACTCTCTGGAGCTGTTGTCCAGAGAGTAGATTGCCCTTCTTGTTGCACGTTGAAGCTCTACTTGGAACCTTGTTAAGATCCAACCAGGCAAAATATGATTTTCCAAGTGGTCTTAAACTTTGATCAGGACTGTAGCATCACACAGTTGGTGGAGATCTGCTGTCTGCGCATTAATGATATGAATCTCACATTCCACCACATCCCAAAACAAGGAATTTTCACCCACAGAACTGCTCACTGGATATTTTCTCTTTTTTGCTTCTTTCTCTGTAAACCTTAGAAATGGTTGTAAAGGAAAATCACAAATTCCCAACACCAAAATAAAATAAAATGACTTTTTTCTACACTGGTAAATTAATCTGACTTGATGCCCCAGCTTAAATTTAGCAATACGTTTAAAAATCATGCAAATACACTGCGCTAAAATACTCTCCTCTGTATGCAAAAAGGCCCTCACTTTTCAAATTACACACCAAATGAGTTTATTTTGGATCTGCAGTCACTGTTAGTATAGCAATACTAGCAATGACTACAAACAAACAGATGAGAAATGGAAAGGAAATACAGCTCAATTCAAAGAGACATGGAAATTCAAACACTGTCTCACAGCCACTGAAAGAAAATCTTCGACAAGATTTACATTCTCATTTTAAAAAAAACTTGTAAAGCAGAAACATGAAGGGCAGCTCACCTGCGGCAGGTACACATGTGTAGGGGGCAGTGTGGCACAGCTGGCACTCGCTGCTGCTTCAGCGGCTTTGGCCTCCGCTGGGAAAGCGAGTGAGACAAAGGAGGGGTTCATTAATTAAACATGGGTCTTACTAATAACCCCCGGGACATATGAGATGAGAGGTGCTAAACACGCTGCAGGTACGACGGCCTTTGCATTGAGAGAGAAAAAAAATGGCACTTTAAAATCTCCATGACTTGCAGATACGATTTTTCCAGCGAAAAGTGTTTTAAATATTTTGGAGATCTGACATTAGCTTATCTTTAACCTTAAATTCCTTAGTACAACATCTCTGTGATGCTGAATTAAGCTCATGTGATATCAGTGCAGTGCATTCATTGTTAGAAAGCAGGCAACATGTTGCCCTTCCTACTGCTTTATGTATCCAGGCCCAAACAACACAAAGTACTTCCAATAATGTACTGTATGCATCGCTTCAAATATCTTAAGAAAAAAAAAAAAAAAAAAACTATCCACACTTTCCAAACAAATTACTTTTCTTAGTTTTCAATTTAAAATTTACCTGTAATCATTCAATAAAGGAGAATATTTTTTAAAACAATCAAGGTCCACAATCTATATACCACTAAATATATACTAAAGACAAATGATTTTTTACAGCAGATATTTCACTTGGTGTGGCAGGAAAAAGCAAAAATATAATGAAAGACATTTCATTAACATTATACTGGGTCTTGGTAAAGCTCTCCTTTTGTATATGTTCTGTACTCACATCTTGTTGCATGCTCAATCATCCAGGTAAGTAAATCTCCAAAAGTTGATTCTGTTCACCTGGACGTTGCATTTTTCAGTAGGAGAAACATTTCTCCCACTGAAAAACGCAACGTCCAGATGAACAGAATCAACTTTTGAAGATTCTGTACTCACATATAATGTTTGTACATTTATGAAATGACAAAGGTATTCTATTCTTTTCTAACAAGACCTGTGTGAGAAGATCTGTTCCAACATGATATGTAAATGTTAAAGTATAAAATAGAGTGATGAACGCGTGCAGAAACTCAACATCCCTTTTTTCCTAATAGCATGATGTTTTTATTTAGGCTGTAGCTGAAGTCAGAGCTTCTCTACTGGAGATTTTCACCTGCTGCCGAGGAGGGGAGGTCTGGATCATGTGGTGGCTGCTGACCCAGAGGAGCAGAATAAGGAGGTGGAGGTATGTATGCTGCAGAGGCATCAAATGCTGGAGGAGTGGCGTAGAATCCATCTGGAGTCCGAGAACAGAGAGTTGCAGTTTAGTTTTCACTTTCACAAGATGTGGATCTAAGCTGACGACAATTCTGAAAAGCACCTGGAGGAGGAGGGTTAGGGTAGGAGTAGCCGGGTGGAGGTCCTGCTGGGTACATTCCATTAGCAGGTGGGTAAGCGTAGGCCCCATTAGCCATGTAGGGGCATCCACCAAAGCCAGCAGTTACAGGCTGACCTCTGGATGCTGAAAATGTGAGGCAGTAAATCGATTAATAAGTCCATGAAATATCAGGAACTGTACTATTTCATGTGTTCTGCTTTGTTAACATACCCTGAGCTGCAACCTGCAACATGTACTGGCCAAACTCTATGGCTCCTCCAGCAGCAAAGATGAGCTTGAAAGTAGCACTGCCCTCCCAACCGCCTCCAAGAGAGATTCAAGAGAGGGCTTAGAGACACAAGATGCTGCGTGTTCCATTAAAGCATAGCGGGGGAAAAGTACACCTACCTCCAGGCTCTGCATTGACTGTGCCCTTGATGTAATTGGCTCCCAGGACAGGCTGTTTGATCTCACAGCCCTTCATCAGGTAGAAAGGCATCATAAAAGACTGCAGCGCATCCCGCCCTTTAGCCAGGAAGATCACCTGGGATTAAAAGAAGAAACAGCATCATATTAGCTCAGGGGTGGGCAATCTCAGTCCATGAGGGCCGGTGTCCCTGCAGGTTTTAGATCTCACCTTGGGTCAACACACCTGAATCACATGATTAGTTCGTTACCAGGCCTCTGGAGAACTTCAGGACATGTTGAGGAGCTAATTTAGCCATTTAAATCTGCTGTGTTGGTTCGAGGACACATCTAAAACCTGCAGGGACACCGGCCCTCGTGGGCTGAGATTGCCCACCCCTGTGTTAGCTACTCCCAAACTAACCTTAAATGATAGTAATTAGAATGATGGAGTTCTGCTCTTCTGCTCTGCTAGTACGTGATGTGAATTGTGGCACCATTATGCCAGCACAAGGCTTCGGCTAAACAAAGAGGAAGACTTGGTGGTGTTGTCACTCACCCTGTATGGAGTCAGGTAGATGCTGCCCTTCTTGCTCTTTCTGAAGGCTTCGGGCAGCCTTTCCGTGTCACAAAAAACAAGCTCCACATTGTCGTGGTTCATCAGCACACTAGATCCAAAAAGAGAAAGGAGACGCTGGAACCAGCTGATTGTAGGAACCAGAATTCTTTCCAACATTTTTCATGTGCATCAAAAAGAAAATCTGTAATGTTTGTATAAGCATTTGACCTACTTTCATCTTAAAAGCTTAAAATGAGATCATTGGGTTATTGTGCAACCGTCCATTGCCTTTAGTACAAAGTACTATAGGCAGAGGATTAACATGCCATCTAGTGACAGAGCTTACTACAGGTTCCGGGTTAGCTCTAATGGGTTTATCATTACACTGCAGCATGTTCTAGAAGAATCTGGCCATTATTTTTGACTCATGCTAATAAACAAAACAAATACTTTAGCACAGAGGCCAGGCCAGAGCGCAGACTGAAGGCTATGCAGCTATTGCACTGCAATATATGCTCAGCTAATCCTGCAATGAGGCGAAATAACGTTTTATCCTCGATACATTAGACTTATTACAACATTTAAAAACCACTAAACATTTATATAATCCTAGTCTGCGGTGATGATATAACAGGCTGAAGGGCCATATTTCGGCTAAGAGTCCGGGACCCGGTTCTGTAAAATGCGACGCGAATATTAGATTAGAAAAAATGACGTTGAATTAATTAACATAGCCATGCTAGTCGTGAAGCATTCAGAGGTTTATTTTGCATCGATTAGGAGCAACTCTTCAATTCGCACTATATCATATAAAAGGCTCTTTGTAAAAAGAAAAAAAATGATACTGTAGTCAAAAATGAAAGCAAAATTATTATTTCACGGTGTTCGACAAAAGCTTTTACACATATGTTTGTTTAAAAAAAATAAGCTACCAAATGCTAAAAGTTAGAAATTCAGTGCAGCGTTTACTGTGTGGCAGGTGTGTCTGTGTATTAACCGAATAATAACGTTGTGTTTGCAGTGCTACTGATATGTAAACTATCTCCATGACATGTCAGAGCCACATTATTTTTGAATGAGTCTGGTGTGACGCTCGTCCCAAAGAGCGGGTATAACTTATCCGTGGCTGGTTAACTGTAACGGCTAGCTAACAGCTGCTAACTGACGTTACCTTTCACTGTTGTTGATGATGACACCACCGGACTCCGAGTGATTCTGATTCAGAGTCATGTCGACGGCCCTCCAGATTGTCTGGAAAAGATTAGATACTGTTTTATTCAGTCAGAAAAACTATCCAAAGGCCTCTCTGGATCCTCGGTGACTTCCCTCCGCGCGGATAACGGTTGTTGTGATACAGAGCCAGCTGAGGTTGCCGCACCTGCCCTTCCGCCATACGTGTGAAACGCCCACCGCGTGACGTCACGCCCCTTTAAAAAGTCGGTTTGCCCTAAGCCTTTCAAAACATTCAGTCTGATTTTAAATATTTCTTTAATAAATTTACGATCAAATGTCTATGACTGAATGACGTTTAAATGACCGACACGAGCTCTACAAGGTTCTACCAATTGCAATATAGCTTCTAATAATAGTAATAATGCTAGAAAATCATCATATACGTAAGACTTTTAATGTGGCTAACTACGCCTCTATAGTTAGTAGCACAGTTAGATGTAAATAATAATAATAATATCAATTAATTAAAAAAGAGTGAAAGACTTCTTTACATCATGAGTCTGGCTGATGTACCAGTTAGCCTAAATAGAAATGTATTCTTACTTAATTAGTATTATTACCGTCAAGGCAGGGTCAGCCTTACCTGTTTAAGGGACAGACAATTTATTTCAAGTGAGTCACAGGCACTGAGAAACAGAAGTAAGTCCAAAATTCTATTTGTAGTACAAATATGGCAAGATGATTTATATATCAAGTATTGAAATGCCTCTTACATTATGTAACAGAATGAGTCAGGAGAAGGTGAGTGGTCAGGTTAGTCAGAAGCACCCACATCCTTGTAAAAGATGCAACAAGTGGTGTGTGTTGGCTAACAATGGTTGACATCTATGTCTGACCCTCTAAATTCCATGCACAAAGCTATTATATGAGCCAGAAAAACAAGGAACAGATTATAGATTATACAAAGTTGTTAAATGAAACAGATGGGTCAAATGTCACTTTTCACTCCAATGTGCTAATACACGGGAGGTGATGTAACTACCCTTACTGTCAAAGTTTACTGCTATCACATGAAGCTCTAGGATGCCATCATGGAACATGTCATACCTGGATTGCAGCTCATATCACTTCAGTGCTACCATAGAGGTAAACTCTCAATGCCTACACAAGCAGCTGTGTGGAAACACCTGGCTGATGATTGAAATTTACTCTAAAATGTTTGTATAAGAATTCTGAATAATTATAAGAACTCCATCACCTCAACATCAACATAAATAATTTTTTAATTCAAATAATTTTCAACTAAAATTCCCAAATATTCATTAGCTGTGTTTTTTAATATGCTGCACACATGCTAATAGATTTGTATATTGCTTCTATATTATTAGTCTAATAAAATCAAAAGTCCTTAAGAATTTTATTTGATTGAACATTTTATAAACCAAAGATTTTGAGATTTCATTGAAAAAAGTCATCAGATGCACTGTAAAACTTGATATACTGTCACCTTAACCGGTGTGTAGAATGCAAAATTTAGCTAGTTAGCTATAAGCTAAACTTGCTTTTTTAATCTAGCTAATTTAAAAACGATGTAGCCAGTTGAAAATAGAGAATATATAATATAGTGAAAGCAATTACTGAAACAGTTTAAGAAAGGGTACCTTAAAGTAAAGACTGAGATATGGTTTTGTATAGAATGTGATGTCTTTGTGATTGATAGTGTTAGAAATAAGGTTTCTTTTTAACATTAGTTGCAATTGTACGCTCATAATAGAGTTGATACACTCTTCATTAGAATTATACAAGCTTTACTAATCTCAAGCTGTGAAGGGTTAACAAAGAGGCATGGAAGGAGTTGAGTGTTGAAAGTAAATTGCTTCACCTTTACACAACACAGTTTCAGATAGGACAGGCTGCTTGGCTTTGGGTGTCTGACAACAGGTGGTTCTAGTGGACAAGACATGGAGACTTTATTGTGACAGGACAAGATCCCTGAGTGGAGGACAATGACCGCTGCCATCCAGAAGGACTTCGAGAAGAACAAATCAGGGTATGTTGAGTCTAAACCGTGGCATCTCTCCATCAATAGCTAATCACAAATATTTCTTGTTTCCATGTGTCTAAGTATATACTTTGAATTAGGAATTGTGCTTCACTTCTCCGTGTGCAGACTGCCCGAATAGAGGTCCACAGCTATGCAAGCCAAATCTTTAACTGCCTGATAATAAAATACTGCAAATAGTGTCTCCTGAACTTCTCTCAATTAAAAAAAAAAACACCAACTCATTAGCCAGTCTAGCATTGCGTGCTATATAGACGCGTCTGGACAGGCACCACTCTGTATTTCTTAGGCAAATGCCATTTGAGCTGTAAATGCTAGTCTGTGAACACAGATCCCACTAAATGATCTCAGGACCTTGCCCCATACTCAATGAGTCTGATCAGAAATATGTAGACCAGACAGTGTCCAGCTCTCGCTATTTAATTTTCTGGTACATCCTCAACATTCTTCAGATTGCATTAAATGTGCCCTCCTGGAGAAACTAGATTACCTGTGCAACCAAAATAGCCTGCAAATACGGTCTTATGCTACAAGTAGTGACAAGAACACTAGCAAGAAGCAAAACAAGAGAATAATATCACAGGTTTAGTCGGCTGTACCGTTTTTTGGAGCAGCGTATATGAACTCATAGTGGAGTAGTATAATGGAGTAAGTCAACATTCTAAATAAACACAGGTAAAACTAACCACACTCCACAGACAGGCTGCACTGTCTCATGTTACACACAGTTTCATTATTTAATTCATCATCTGTCAAGTTATGGAAAATTTGCTCCCAGGACATAAATTTTATTTCATAACGCAAACAGTGAATAGCTGTAAATCAAGCTTTAAAGCTTGATTTACAACAAATCTCATGTCCTGAGATGTAAAACACTGTGTGTGTGTTGATGTTTGTATATGCAAAGGTAACAGGGAGCCAGACCAGTATTTTGTATTCAAACAAAATGTAGGGCACTAGATGAAGAAAAAGTCATAAGTCACAGTCATTGACGTTACCACCTTCTACAGGAAGTGATGACTTCCGGCTGCTGTGTGACAGTTCATCGAAACACACCAAAGCACCCAGCTTCCCTATATCGCGCACACTAGACTCAGCAGCTCACGAGGCAGGAGTCTGATGATCTTAGATTCGCATCAATATGTCAAGTCAAAGTGAGCCCACGAACAAAGGAGACAATCTACTGCAAACACCTGAACAGGTAAGGACTACAGTGCATTTCAATATGTTGGCATGATTGTAGGCTACACAATATTTATTTAAATTTGATTCTCCTTAAGTTATTAAGCACTTATGTTACACGGTGATCGGGCAACAAGCAAACTGATGATCCCTTCAAATATTTCTGCTCTGGGTTTGAAAGATTTTCCTGGTTTGGTTTTCAGTGGCTTGTTATACTAGCAAAGCTTTTTTGCATTTTAGGGTAATTCTATAAAAATTAAAAGGAAAAAAAAACATAAAATGGCAGCTACAACAGTGTTGTTGCATCCGAAGTTGAGTCACTGTCTCCAAATGGCTATTTTGAGATGCTGTGACTATGATTCATTATTATTTTAGGGGGGGAAAACATCAGATCATGAAGAATTAAACATATTTTTCACAAAAGTGTTTTGCAATCATTTACTTTTGAAAGGTTTGCTACATTGGTACATAATGAAAATGCTGTACTCGTGTGCATGTGCGTTTGTTGAGGTTGGGTACGTGTGTATCTGCATAACTATTTTCAGACTATGTTTATAACGATTCCCTTTCAAGTGAATTTCCTGGATTGTTGGTTTGCTTTTGCTTCCAAGTCAGTTTCATTATCAGTGACAGAGGAAGTCTCTTGCATAGGCAGGCCTTATCAGAAACTTTAAAGTAGCACTCGCATTTCTTCAGACCAGCATTGATGTACTTTTTGCACAGGAAGAACTTGTAGCGAAGGCTGTAGTGACTTGAGATCACATTTAAATTCCTGTTAGTTTCAGTTTGATTCAACTGAAGTAGTTGCTTTTTTTTTTCCCATCCATTTAAATGTGCAACATAAGCACCTTTCCCTTGTTTTTTCCAGGAGCATGGCTTACCAAGACTCAAACAGGTAAAAAACACAAACAATTGGCTTGGCTGTGATGAACTAAACCAGTGTGTGTTTTTGTGTGTGTTCGGGGGGGGGTAAATTTAACTAAACCAAACTAGCCAAACTGAAAGACCAGAGCCTAAAGACTCTGTATCACTGTTCTCAGCATGTTGACACTGTCATATTTATAGATAGTTAGATGTGTAATGGTTAGCAGGTTCATTGCTAATTACCACTCAAGGCTAAACAATGGAATGGATTTATATAGTTCCTTTCTAGTCTGACCACTGAAAGTGCTTAGACTACATTAAGTATACACTGCAACTACACAATTTACCTTTCTGTTATACATGATCACCATTTTTAGAAGTCATGTGATGCAAGATCTATTGATCAGTAAAAAGAACAATAACTTGTTGAGTTACTATTGAGATGTCTCTCTCGCTTTCTCGAAGCTTAGCTGCTGCTTTTGTTCCAAGAGGAAAAATAATCCCATCGCAAGTCATTATGCTACTTTATATATAGTCATTATTTTACTAGTGGAGATTTCATCCTCTTGTGACAAAAACTGTTGTACTAAATTTTAAGTTAATCCCTCCGATAGCGGTCAAGAAATTTTATTGCAGATCAGCTTGGTTGCACTGGCTGAGAAAAAGTCAGATATCCCCCCCAGAATCATTACGATAAATCCTTTAAGAATAGCCATCCAGCCATTTCGTTCTGCTTATCCAATGCGGGAAGGGTTGGAGCATATCCCAAATCCAAGAAGGAAAAGTCAAGGAACACATGGGACAGGTTGCCAGTTTATTGCAAACTTACAAACCAGAATTGCCAAAGAGAAATTAACCCACATATGTCTGGACTGGTGGAGGAAGCTCGAGTAGAGGCAACGTGAAGAATATGCACTTTTCACTTAACATCTGCAGACCTTGTGCAAGTCTGTCCCGTAGATATTGGGAGAAATTGCTAAATTACGTTATGGTGATACTAGAGAATAAATCTGTAAAATTCATCTTTTGAGGACCATGAACATCTGTGCACAATTTAATTTCAATCCTTCCAGTCTTTGTCAGGACAGCACCTTCAAAAGTCCTCAAAGTCATTAGCAAATGTCTTCTGTGGACAATGTCAAAATGT